ATAAATATGTGTATATATAGGTTAAAAAATCTGATTTTTGAAATGTAAAAGTTGTTTTGTTATTTTTGAAATAGGGTAAAGATAAAGTAGGGAAAGTGAATTTTTCCCATAAAAAAAAGAATTCTCACCCACCCACCCCACATGTGAGAAGGTTTTGAATTCTTGTACTTCTTCTGGCATATATTTCATGTACTTGTAACACCACTCTTAAATCTAGGCCTATTTTATTTATCATTAAATGGATGTTTAAAATTTCAACGGGGATAAGGATGGCAATGAAACGAGCGCCCGACACGATCCTTTGGCTCATTGATTTTATGGGCTGGGCTGAGCTCTCCGCAAGTCAATTCGGTTTTTCTTTTTAATTTTTTGATAAAAAATTAATAAAGTAAGCCTAAACATGAACTAAAAAATGAGCCAATTCGTAAAAAAATTTGAGCTCGACTCGGTTCATGATTTTTCTCAAAACAAGTCTGGACCGCCCATGGGTTAAGATCAACGGAGCATGCATGAGTGGCTTAACCAATTTGCCACCCCTGCGGGCCTGCCAACAAGCCAGCAACATTCACCTATGATTTTATTAAAATTCATATCTAACCGGTTAAAATAGTAATCCCAGTAGACTTAGGAAAAAAACTCAAAATGTCCCTTAATTCGAGTGATGGCTGTTAGATATAAATGGTAGTTCGATTATAATTGATTAAGAGCTCATTTAACAGAGCTTTTGAAAAAAAATAGAAAAAAAAGATCCGTTTCTAAGATTAGAAAGAAAAAAGCCACGAGTACGGGGATTTCTTGACAAAATTCCTATCGATGCTGATATAGTCGCAGATGATTGAATTGATTTTTCTCTCATTTCATCTTCCAATCAATTCCCGTCATATATTGTCTATCAAAGTTTTTTGTCAGAATTTTCTTTACTTGTAGTAGCATGTTTGGATTAGAAAAATACTTCTAGGTCTATTTGTAAAATTTTTGCAGTCTAATCAGGCAACTCCATTAGTTCGGGCCCATTCAAAGTCTGGCCCACGAATGTGCCTAAACCTTGGACAAACCCATGGTAAGTATCAGGGGCGGAGGGGAGGGGGGT